ACATGACTAAAATTGATTTAAATTCTGTAATTGGCTCCCGATTTGAATTCTCATGGGAAAAATTGTTTATGAGAAAATGCGTTTTCCACATCGTGAAATCTCGTGTATTTCAGTATCCTATTTTAACAAGGGGTTCGAATCGGTTGGTTTTTACTTGTGCTTGCACAGCATTTCCTCGTTACGATGAACTACGCTCATATCATAGTATTACCTCTGCAGTCTCTGACCCCGGTTTCCTGTTACAAGAACGACCTTGGCATCGCTCGGTTTCAACGGGATCGTTCTATCTCGGCGAATCGCAATTTATTTTCATTACAAAATCTCTGAATCTGAGCTTTAAATTAATTTCGTTGAATTCTCAATGAAAGGAACATATAAGTATAGCAACATTAAATTTATTAAGAGATCTTTATAACGAAACACGATATTTTTTTATGTGTGTCATCTGTCTACGATATGTTTGAAAGTAAATTAATAAAGCCAATAATATATAAATCATTTATGACTTTGTACGCATGGAATTTACACCAGACTGTATGTCTCCGACGATGTCGCTTCATTTTCATGTTCGTGATGCATTATCGATGAAGACGAGCGAAGTTACGCGTAATATCGTTTGTGATAGAACGGCCGTTTCGCTTTATGATATAGAACCGCTTCGCGTAATACTGAGATGCATATCAGCGTTACTGCTCCGTTATTTCGAGAACTAAAATCTGTAACGAGATATACCTTTCGTAGGTAGATTCATCTAGATTATTCCGTTAACAAAGCATCGCAAATACATATATTCGAAAAATAGTCCCATATATTCGCAATGTCCCAGAAATTGTCTGGAAAATATTATATTCTCCGTTCCGATCGCGTATCTCCATTACTGTCCATTAATAATCCGTGGCCAACCTACTATTTTTTGAACTGTTCCATTTGTTGACATTGTTTTAATATACCCGTGGGTTTCCGCTTTACTTCTATTAGCGTTCATAGTCATATGTAAAACACATTTAATTCTGTATCATGTCATGCGAAATGAAAAATTCAATACGAAATAACGCGATATCGCGCGATATGTAATTCTTATAAAAAATAAAAGAGTTTATGACAGACATTAATCCTCTTGAGTCCAAAAATGTGAAAAAAAATTCATTTTGAACGTTTTATGTTTGTCACAAAATTATCGAGATTGCTTATTCTTCGCTATTTATTTTGAATAATTGTTTTTCATTATTTATTTTTTAAATAATTTATTAAATTCTATTATGGTTTACATTAAATTAATGACTTGCATTAAATTTTTGGTGACAAAATCCAAGTTGGAATTGGAAAACGTAATATTTAGGATGTAATACGTATGCAACACACACAAGACGCTTAATACACAACGCTCTTTCAAATAAATACTTGTAGCTCCGAACTCAGTGAACTCCCGCGTCGATCGTTTTTGTTTGAAACCAACCGTCCAACTTTCGAATGGTGCACTATATCTTCATTACTCCTTGTTACATCGTATAATCGACTGTAAGACTTGATCTGTATAATGGTTTATTTTTGTAATTATAAAGCATAAATATAATTAAAACATTAGATGCAGTTAAAAAGTTTTTAGAGGTCTAAATTTTGTTTATGCATTACTTTTGTAATATCCGAATATATCGAGTTTATGTTAGTAATAATTATTAAATTTATGTTAACTCTCTTCAGCTATATTTTTACTCTTTTTGTTTGCAATCTGTATTTTTGTTCTATCCAAGTTTTTCTAAAATTTAGAAAAATTTAGAGTTACTTTTCAACATTTCTATTACATTATCAAATAGTTTTTTAATTTTACTGTTGAAATTTTTATTTAATAAAAATTGAAATTTAAACAAAAATGAAGAAGAAATTTAAAAATAAAATTTCGCTTGTATTTTAAAAGACTCAGATTGCAGACAGAGAGTTAAATTACTAATATATATATATATAATATAGTTTTTTAAATTTATGAAATAATTTCTCTTATTTACAAAATTATTATAGCTAATAATTGTAAAATAAGGAAAATAAATTAAAAGTTTTGAGTAAATATTATATATTGATATAAAAATTGGCGGAAAAGAATAATTATTAAGAGATAAATCGAGGGCATCTGAGGGCATTACGATATATAGATTTGGGGCATTACTGAGCATTATTGAGCATTACTTAAGTCTTAAAAGAATTATGTATTATAATAAACGTATGCATTACTATGACATTAATGGACATTACTAGGGCATTAATGTACATAAAAATTAAGCATTACTTGGGCAATGCTTGGGCATTACTGGGCATTGGTGTATACAATTTTGATCAGCGGTTTATCCTTCGTAATTAATATTATATTCTATTTAATATAATATTCTATTTAAAAGGGAATTGTCGATTGGATTAATTTTTTTTATTGATTTAATTCGCTAATTTCTATTAATTTGTCAATAATGTTGTTCTGGTGAAAATTTGATGTAGCTTATAAATTTCAAGCTAAAATGTTTTAAATAATCTTGAAATTAAGTTTCTGTGAAAGTAAAATTTTTATCTATTTCTGATTGATTTCTTAGTTTCTTCGTCTCTAGAATTAGAACACCGTGGGTCTTCCAGTTCAAGCTAGTAGTCAGGTAGAGCTTAGGTATTACTTTATAGTATCTAAGATGGGTTCGTGGAGATCATTTTCCAGCGTGAAGACGATTATATACCTGACGAAAGAGCTGCCAATCGTCTTGTCCGTTTTGGTTCGACCGCATTTTTAGTCAAGAGATTGAATTCGTTTTAAAAGAACGCTTCTTCTTTCGACGGGACTTATAACTCGACTTGATTGACCCTCCGTCCAGCTTCCCTCGAATGGCAGTTTTACCCTCTTTTATCTCGAAATTAAAAAGAGGGCCATTGCTGTCGTCTCGGCCGGTCGGTTGCGCCGGCTCAACTACGAAGAGGATAGAACGACAAAGAGAAGCCTGACACAAAGTGCGAGAGGATTGTGAAAGAAGGGAAAGGATGGTGTCAGAGATGAGGACAGGGGTAGTTGGATAGGACGCGAGTTGGCTTAAATTTAATTCATTTCTCTAGCAACCCTTTTCTATTCTCTCTTTATCACGACTCTGGCGAGACGAAAGGGAAGAGGGGTGAAACGAGGTTGGTGGAAGACCAACTCGCGAATGCAATTTCCTCGTGGCGCGAACTGAATGTTCCTGCGGGTTGCAACCGTCCAGGCGGACCAATGTTGAGTCCTTTTTCCGGAGGCTGACTCACTCGAAAAGTCCTTTGAACGTGACGATAATGTGAACTTACAGCACTATATTTTATGGAGATTTATATTTTACTAATAAAAGTTTATGAATAAAAAGCACTCAAGAGACTGTAGACATTAATTGAGCATGAGTTCTAATTCTAGATCTTGAGATAGATTTCGTTGAGATAGATTAAATTATTAGAATCTCGCATATTATTTGTAACTAAAATTATGAATGAAGCGCGTCAAGGAATATAAACTTTTGTTACGCTGCAGAGAAATTAAGTTGCAATGTCCTAATCATCAAATTGTCTTATGACAATATCATTTCATATATCTTTAAGTTTCTGTCGTTGATAAAGAGAAAAAAATAAGATGCAAAAGTTACAAGGGATCTGAAATAAGATTTAAATGAAATAGTTTAACTAAAGGGATTAATCGATTTGATTTTGATAGATAAGTAATGAATTAATATAATATTTTTGCAAGTGTTTTTGATTACCATCAAAATTGGAAAATGTTTTTGTAGTAGTATAAAATTGAAGAAAATTTACATTTATATCAGCTATATAAAAATACATAAATATACACACACACACACATACACACACACACACACACACACAATATAATTTAATAATGATTGAAGAGTGATGAATAAATAACGTTTTATATTATGAAATACGTTTTATAATACAAATAGAGAATTAATCTTGTTTTACGATGCGATTATTGTGACAATAATAATTGCAGTAAATGATTTGAAATGATAATTTTTGATGCGTTTGAAACGCAAGTTTTCTGCTTCCTGCTCAATCTACGATCACGATGGATAGTATCGTGTACGTGAATTATGTAGTGTAATGAAAGTTAAGTAAGAGCTTGGATACGATGATTAATTCGATGGTATGCCACGTTATAACGACGCTCTCATCAAAAATCATGTAACAACTGGCTTCCCATTCGATGTAATGCGGAATCGCCGAGCGGTTGTAAAATCAGCTCTAATCCATAACGGAGAATCAGGTCACGTTATGTGGCGAATGCAATTTCGTCGAGGCGAAACTATTCGTGCTGTAATCACCGTAAACCGACGTGGATTTTGCTAGGCTGAATCTTTTTTTTTCGGCATGAAAATGCTGACCAGGCCGAACGTTCTTCAAACGTGACATTAGTACAAAGCGTGAGTCCTTGGCGATGCGATGCATTGTTAACGAGAATAAGAATGGAGAATAATATTTCGAAATGCCAAGGGATGCACATAAATAATGTCTTTAAATAGGTTCGAATCCCTTTGTATTATACGTTTGCATATGTATACTTTAAACTGTTTTTGAACTGTTTCTCGAAATTAATTTTCCTCCAGTTTATAATTTTTAAAGTTCTTTGACGCTTGGAGTTAATATAAAAATTCATAAATTACAAAACTGACCAACTCAGGCTTTTAGCAAGCGTATATAATGTACACTAGCATCGCGTACCAGAACTTGCTTCGAAATTAATTTTCGCGATTATCAGGTACTTTAAGTAGTTGAACTGCGATTTTGCAAGTTTAAGTAGGATAAACTCGAGCATTATGGCCACACGAGAAAGATGATCGTAGGTTGTATATGTCTCCAACAATTACTAAATAGACCATTTTTAAAGTAATTTCGAAAGTCTGCGGCCATCTTACCCGAGTTTACTTTATCCGAAATCAACTAAGAGTTTTTGTTGGAAACTTGGACTAATCAATTTCTCTTAACATCGTTTGCAGCCCAAGACCCGTTCTAAAGCAAAGAGAGATCTAACTCAGCCAGGACCTTGGCGATACATCTCATCGTTCGTCTCCTGCGGTGCACCCAAGGGAACGATGCGGTGCTCGATGACGTGATCGACCTCTCGGTCAGCTACGCGCCGTGACCTCGTTCGAGTGGCTGGCCATTCACTTCTTCGTGACCGGGCATGATCGTAAATTCGAAGAGCACGACAAGACGCTGAAAGAAAATCGAGCATTTTCGTAGAAACGTACAGAATTTTCATGGAAGAGGCGGCCGTCTCTCGTGGCGTCAACTCGTTGACGTTCTCGAAAAGGGAGGATGTGCGAGAGGATATCAAGATCGTGAGGGCTTCTGTGTAACACACGAGGGATCGTGTACTAGGCAAAACGAAGGGCGAACGATTGAAATGCGCGAAAGGAGGATCTGACCAGATGCTTTGCTGACACCCGAAGAAACGGGCGTAAGAGGAGGAATTCTGGAGGTATGATAGACGCGTGAAGAACGGGAAGAACGCTGACGACGCTGCGCGAGTAATTGAGTCGTGTCGGCGAAAAATTCCAACGCCGGCGAAGTGCACGTTTCTTCTTCTGCTACACTCGGGAAGGAAACGAGGGAGGAGACAATCGAGAAGTACGAGAGATCCAGTAGCAAAACATTCATCTCGAGCTGAGGAAATGAAAGTACGGAGATATAAAAATCTTTAATAGGCGGACGTGACTATGAGAGTCAATGGACGAAAGTCAAGACGAAGATACGACACATCAGACTGTGCTTGAGATTTTTTTTATTGCCTGAGAGCAAAACGATTTGACGCAACAATCTGAGACAACCTGAGAAATCTGGGTGGCTAGCTCAGTTTGTTGAATAAAGTGAGAAATCTAGGAGGGAAGGCGATGACAAATCTCTCCGGTCTTGTCGAGACCCCCCCCGTGTGAATCTCAGGAGGCGTGCAGGAGGCGCGAGGCAAGGTCGCGTTGGATGTCCGCGCGGCGTGATTATCCGCGAATCGGCAAGGTCATACGGGATCGCCGCAGTGATCGCGCGCGACGGCGGACATCCGCGTTCGTGGCCGCGCACGCGACACTGTCATCACGAGAATCATTCCGTTGTCTTCCCCACTCGTCGGCGGCCACATGACTTGACGATTGCCTCTTTCTCCTCCCGCTGCTGCTCCTGCCCGTTGACCGAAGGCGGCGGCGGCAGTGGCGGCGACGACGTCACGGCGACGTCGACGTGGACGATAGCGACGAGGAGCCAACGGCTGACAACGGCGGTGTGGTGGAGGTCCGATACTTGAAACGAGTAACACGCGCCGTCGGCGATTCAGTCGTTCGCAAACGGTTGGTCCGCAGGTGCACGACGCGCGTGGGTGCCTGCGAGAAGCGCGTGGATGGGTGTGTGTGTGTGTACGTGAGTGCTCGCGTTTTCCTGGATCGTCGTCCGGACGGTGTACACGTGCGTGGTCCATAAAAGGGAGCGTCTCCCACACAGAGAAGACACGGAAAGAATCGACCGAGAAGAATCGCAGCAGGGAATAAGAAAGAGAGAAAAGGAGCAAACATAAAGTAGTCCTTTAGAGGCTGCACAGATCCTTCCTCTTCTTCGTTTCGGTAACCGTGGTGTGTCGTGACACAATCGTGGTGTTTGTCGTGGTGGCACGGTGTTACCGTCGTGTCACTGCTGCCCTGGCGAGCGGTGGCGACGGTGGCGGTGGTGTTGTTGGTGGAGATATATATATATATATATATATAGTAGTGGATGATAACTGTGGCTCGCGGGGGTGGCGAAACTGGAGCAGCCGGTGGCGATCGTCGTCGTCGGTGCAGCGGTGGAGCTATCATGTGCACGCGGCGGATTTTCGGACTGGCGGTCGTGGCCCTGCTGACTCTCGGCGGTCGAGCGCGCGCGTACACCAACCAGTGGGCGGCACACATCGATGGAGGAGAGAAGGTGGCCAGGCGAGTCGCCGAGGACTACGGATTTCGCTATTTGGGCAAGGTCAGTTCGCTATTTGAGCATCACGGGTCCCAGACCCGACGGGTCGATTGGGATTGGCGATCTCTCTTTCTTTCAATACAATAGTTTCCGCGATATCGTGCGCGGAATTTCTAGATTCCGTCATGGAAGACCTTTTGCACGACCGTAACGCGAATACGATTTTACGTTTTTTTCCTGAAACGAACATTTGCCGATACAGCTGCTTTCGATGGTAATTATTGTATTGGAATTGTTTAATTAATCGACCGTGATGAAATCGAACGGTTACGAGAGGAAATTATTGACGAGTAATGGGTATTATTAAAATGAGATTAATTGATCCAAATACGTTTTGGTTTACGCAATGCGATGGTTTCTTTTAGATTGTATATTAATAGAGAGAACACAATAAATTTAAATAAAATTAAGTATTAAATATTTCTAATTGAATCGTTGAAAATCGAAGTGCTGTAAGGTATGCGGCGGAATAAATATGAATGTGTTATTATCAAGGTGAATTGTACAATGCGCTTGAGATGAGATTTAATAGCACGTTCTTCCAAGTAAACAAACAATCAACGCCATTTAGTTCTAGCAGCTCGATTAGTACACAACGTTCAAGTTAAAATTACAAGATTTATCCACTTGACATTAATAGTTGCGATAAATTTAAATGCGAATTTGAGTTAGAGAATTATATTTTCATGTAGAATAACTCGACAATGTGGTGAGGGAAACCGCTTTGTACTTTAATTAACTTCTATTTCATTATTCATTCGTGAAGTTAAGAAGTGCAGAGATCGTTCAAATCGATCTCTTTTCATAAATTGGATATGCGAATTAATATTTAAAGAAGAAACACATGCTACGGTGAGCGGTTTAAATATGCAATTAACGATCCGCAAATACGTTTTCGTTGAATTTGTTCGCTGATATTAGCTCCGTTTCCAATACAGGTATTTTAAAGAGAGACGTAATCCTATTGAAAAAAGATATTTTAAAACGTTTTATAATCTTCAACATATCTTGATATTTTTATTTTGAAATCGAGAGATATATAGAGACTTATCCCTTTTCACTTCGGTAACATATTGGCCTCAAAGGAAACTTTCGTACTGTATGATAACGTTTGAAATCGAAATTGGCGGAGAGTTGAACTCAATACGTTTCCAACCGATAGATCTTCTCTGCTCCTGCAGAGTATCTGGTGGTATGATATCTATATTTTGCTATGAGTTAATAAACCTGTTAACTGCTAAATTGAAATCCTTATGGAGCTCTATTATCTCATTTAGTTTCGTTCATCGATACGATTCTCATTCCAAGTGAGTGCGATATTCTCATCATTTTCATTGGCAAAAAGATCTACAATATTATATAGAAAGTTCTATTTTTCCTACTTTTTTTCTTGAGGAACACACAACCGATTTTTAGTGGCACTTGATTTTTCATCACTTTTCGCGATTCATAGGAAACATGTCGATTTCGAAACGGACATCGAATCCATTGCCGTATTTTTCACGCCTTCTATGATCACAATGGAAAAATTTCCCGCTACTCGTTCATACCATTTCATCATGCTCTTTTTTTATCAGTCTGGCTATCAGCAGAGAGATCTATATAGTGCACTTCGTCGATCCGCTGTGTAATAATTCTTGGATTGTAATTTGTTCGGAAAATTATATAACTCCGTTCGGGAAAGAGAGATTCGGTATTTTTAGATTTCGATTTACATCTTTCTATGTATACGAAGCGGACGTGATCTCATTTTGGCACTTAATCAAACACATGCGAAAAACATGTGATAATTTCTCTTGGTTTGCTTTATAATATTTCGACTATGCGTGCGTGCGTACGTGCTGTAAGAGTATAGCATACACATCGGTTACGTGTTCTTCAAGAGAAAAAAGTAGGAAGAATAGAACTTTTCATATAATAGAGTTTTTGTCAAGAAAAATAACGAGAATATCGAACGCACTTAAAATAAGAATCGTATCGATGAACGAAACTAAATGAAAAATGAGATAATAATAGAGCTCCATAAGGATCGATTTCAATTTGACAGTTAATTTACAGGTTTACTAACTCATAGCAAAATACAGGTATCATACCAGATACAAGTATATTTTAAGAAAAAGATTTATGCACATAAAATGAAATTTATACACGTATAATATGCAGATTTTTAACAAGTATTATTTTTTAAAGGAATTAAAATATTAAAAACTCTCTCTATTAGATTATGTTCAATAAATGTGGACTTTTTTTAATTAAAAAGATTCGAATATTAGGTGATTCGATAAAATTTTTGCAGTATAATCGTACTTAGAATTGACCACAAAGCTTTTTTTATATTAAGCAATTACAATCCACTGTAATATCCGTGCTATCTATCAAACAAGATAACGATCCAATCCTGGATATACCCGACCCAAGATTCCTCGAGCCGATCGCTGACGTAAGTCTTGGTGACGTGTGCCTCTGTTTCAGTGACCGTGAAGGCCGCGATGTAGACTTTGTTGTCGCAGTTGTTATAGACGGAAATTAACCTCCGTGACAATCTCCTTTCTGCCTAAATAGCTCACGATGGAGAATCAAACTCGCTATCTTTGGTTTCCACGCCAGTTCTTCTTCAATCGGGCACAAACCGGGTAGACCGCGCCAATTGGGAAGACCGCGTGCATCGAACCACCGAAATGTTGATGAAATATCGCGTTCGCGATAAAGCGATCAAGTTAAAAATACCCTAAATTCTAAATGATCGAGCAAGTTCTTGTTGGAAACTTTTTTGATTTCTCAAATATAAGTTTACATTGCGCTTACATTGCGATTTTCTTTTCATTTATTAATCTTGGTATTGAATACGGTTTTGTCTTAAGAATAGAACCGGTTATGCTGTTGAAGGTAAAAGGATAAACATATGTCCTTGCTCTATTGTCCATTAACGAGTAGCGAGTTAACGCACTAACAAAATTAGTAGATAAATTGTTAAACAAAAAACTAAGTGCTTTGATTATCGCAATATTATTTACGTGAGAATTATTTTATATATTAAATAACATCTTATTAATATAGTTATTGCTAATATCTATAATGTATCTGCTAATATCTTAAAGTGGTTTACTTCGACGTATATGACTCTTGTGTAATTTTCCTAACAATAAAGCAGATATCTGTGCCTCGCGCTCATCCTGTTTCTTTTTGTAATTGTGGAGCGGCGAAATCCGACAAAGAGCCTGGTTTGTAATTACGCGCGTATATATTGATACTACGATTTTTAAGATCGAGTAGCAACAGGATGTTACAACTAAGGGGAGATAAGCGCGTATACATTTCACACATACATTTCATCGGCGCAAAAACTCATCCGTTTAATTTAGTCCACGAAAAATTTACATTATTTAAATAATTCGTTCGATCGCGTGTATTATTTTCTTTTTTTCTTTATTTATATTATTATTATTATTTTTTTTTAATGACACTCATGCGTAAAGCGCGCTCTTGTACACCGCTACTGTCGTAATCGGGTTTGATATTGTAATGCGATAAACAGAATTTTAAAACGAGAATTTACGGAATTGCGAAATTTTAGCTATATTAATCTCTCTTGCGGAACATGGAAACACACGGGTTTTCCGTGTGTGTCAGCTGTTCCGTTACGCGCCGAAGTGGCCTCGAATGTTTGTCGATTTAATTTTGCAAACGGCTACAATCACTTGCGAAACGCCGTATGATCGCGACCGTCCGTTTATGAACACCTCGATAATAGGACGAATACACATGCATATTGAATGCTCTTCTGGCATGGTATATTGATCTCTCATGTTGCTTTTCGTGAACTTCGTAATTTTCCGCGAATACCTTACATACGCTGAATATTTTTCAAGATAAAAGTAGCAACATGTATTACGCTGATTATGCAAAATATGCATTAAACATCCGAGCAGAACAATTCGTAAAAACAGAGGAAATATTGAGAAAATAATAAATATTGAAAAACTGAATATTATTTAACCGCTTACAGTTTCTCCATTTTACAGATGATTATGGTTATTTTTATTTATTATTGTTTTTCAAGTTAATGAGCTTCCATTTGATATACGTATACGTTTGCTATTGTTCCGGTATGTCTTTTTGGTATCTTTTTATCTCGATTTATTAGTTTAAACATATGTACTTAAAAGATAACACTATAATTCACATCGAATTAACGTTTCTAAGAAATGATGTAGTTTTAAATAGGTCACTTTGATAGATAAGCTATTTTTAATATTTTGATAAGCTTTTTATACTGGCTGTGTTCGCTTTGGCGTTCACAACGCTTTAAGCGTCGTTTCATCCTTGTTGTTTAGTATAATTAATAAAAATTCTAAATATTATAATAATTAATAAAAGTATTAAATATTAAACAAGGACAATTGATGCTCACAATCGCTGTAAGCGGCAAAGCGAACGCAGCCACTATGTTGAAGTGATGGCTCTTATTTCTCAATTCCACAATCCTTGAAAAAGTTGCGATATCAGGTCTTATCAAGCAGACAAATTTACGTTAATCTTTATTGCATATATCATCAAACATGGTGTAGTTGTTAAAATGGTTGGGAAATCAAAATGGTTTTTAAAGTTGGGAAATCTGTCGGGAATACCCTGTTTCTTAACATGTAAAAAGCTCGTATTAAAAAGCTGATAATTATTAATCCACATATTTACTTGTTGTAAAATTACATCTGATTTATAACGAGATAACAGTTTTTATTCTGTTTAAATTAATTTTATTATGATTCATTTTAATTATATTTTCTTAATATAAACATTTATATTTAAAGAGAATTTAATGTATATTAATTTGATTAATATTTATATTTAAAAAGGTTTAAATAACATAAATTTTTAGAAATTTTTTGAAGGAGTTTTGTTAATTTTCATATTAATTTATGCATTAATTGTAAATATATTAGAGCTTATTAATTGGATCGCAATAAATTTTTTAAAATTATTTCTGTGACAATTCTACTTCAAAT